ACTGTCTGACGCGTCTGCCTCCGCGACCCGAAAGGAGAAGCGGCGATGGAAGATGAAGATGAAGATAATGTGTTCAGTGTGTTCCTATGTGTTTTGCTTATCTCGATGTTGCCCTTTTGTTCTTATAGATATGTTCATGTTCTGTCTGTTCACTCTAAAAAGTACTTTCATTTGTTCTTCTTCATTCATCAATTTTTACAACCCAGTTGTAAAACCTTCTGATTCAAATGACAGACCAATAGCTTGGAAAAACTTCAACATAGGCTCGATTCTACTCTCAGCAAACTGATCAAACTCTACTGCTGAATCAAGATTCAACAGTACTAAATGTCTGTCACACCCAAGATTTCCTTGTGCCCCTCTGTGAATAAAGACAGCCTGTTTTGCGTTTCTTTCCTCAAGCATTTCTAACAGAGTTCTTGTTTCTGATCAAAGGACAGTAAATGAGATTTATTCACCTGAATTATACCTTTTAAGTCCAACGGACCTGTGAGTGAAAGCTTAATTGTTTGCAAGCTGAATGAGGTCACGCTTTTTTACCAAAATAGGCGTTGCTCTATTTAATTTCTCTGTGGAGTGTCATATCCCATGAAAATCTAGCAGATGACACTGACATGATATAGCGAGCGATGCAAATACCATGCTCGTTCTTGACTCCACAGCTTACTTGTTTGTACGCATGCAACTCTCTACATACATTTATATTCGAATACAGGATCATTTCATGTCGATCGCCATTTGCATGGAGTCGGTGAGTTTTCAAGAGTAGACGATTTCTTCCTGGCTCTGCGCTAGTGGACAAATAATTATTATAATTCTGACCATTTCTTCCATGGTCGCGCTGTTCTGTTGTCCCGGCGAGGTTAGAATGAAGATTTCTATGTTGTCAGACCTACTGTTCATGAGAACTAGGCATTGCCGCGTACTGAGAATTGAGGTCCGTCACTTAGAAATATTCGAAATATTTATTTGTTACCAATAAAATGATGCGAAATTCTAGGCTCAGTTGAAGACACTGAAACTAGGTGTCTAGCAGACACTCATTTGATCGAATATTGCCATAAGAAACAGAAATATTTCCTCCAGCAGTTCCTTGCATTGTACCACAAGCGCGTCTTGCACGCAAAAAGAAGTATTACGCAGCTGTTTTTCGAGGTTAGTAGCATACTTAGACCTTTATGACGATAACTAACTTCTTAACTTTCATATTTTAGATTATATTTCCGATTCTATTCACGTCTTTTTCTTTGTTCTTGTATTCATTGAACGTACGTCATTCACTTTCAGAGAGCATGCCTGCTATTGTAGTTAGTCCTTATGTTTACGGCGATTCGAACGAGGTGTTTATCAGGTAGTGAGTAATGAATAACGTTAAATTCTATCACCTAACCGTTACGTTTAGTACCACAGGTCTGAATAAAAGTCGAGAGCTGATCGTTAGCGATTACTATGAATCGATTGTGAAATATGGCTTCAGTACACGATGCGTCAACAACAGTTTCCTTTAGTTAGTTCTATTTATTGATTATATACACATTATTTGCTTAATGTTCGTTGTTATTGAAATTCCTTAATTGTTTGGAGCCACAAAAAATTTTTATCATTTATGAACTGACATTTTTTTCAGTCGCTGGCTTGGTCCGTGCAACTTCTCCTCCGTTTCCTGGTCCAGTTCTAACTGTACCGCTGTCGATGCTGAAAGGTGTTTATCAGAATGCCATTGCGACGATTCCGGTTTTTACCATTGCCCATTTCACCGCTATCCATGCAACGTTTCAGAAATACAGTTGCCTGGAGGTGACAGTCTTTTTAATTTAACTGATCAGAGCATATCAATGTGGACCCTTTTACCAAAGGAGCAGTTTCCACGTCGCAGGTATTGCTATCACTGATAATTATCGTTATTTCTTATTGATGTCGTGCTAATCAGTGTACCAAAGGTATAAAATCTTCCTCTCATTTCGATGGCCTACTATTTGAGATGTTTGTGTGTGGAATGACTTGCATTAGCGCCAAAATGGTTGATAAGTCCTAATAGCAAAATAATGTTCTTTCGATTGATTGATCGATGCCAAGATTTTGACAAGTATTTCACAGTGCTTCTTCAAGGTAAACATCTTGACAGAATTTATAAACTGTTCCACCCATTTGCAGCAACTGCTTCTGGAACTGAACCTCTTGCAGCACACGTACCGCATCATTCATTGAATTTTTGTACAAGCTGTATCCTGAAGAAGGCTGTAAGATACGGGTTGAAACATTGGTATCAATCTATCGTGCATTAAGTAATTATTTTGCGTCGTGTAAAATCATTTTATATGTTGGTCTTTCATTCAGAAAGAATTTAGTTTATGCGATGGTGATCATTCTAACACAGAGTACAGAACGGTTGTATTATGGTAGTGCAGTAAATTCGTTTATCGTATGATACACGTATTCGGTCTTAGCATAGGCGACTTCCTGGCCCGATGGACAACTTCATCTGGAAGGTGCTGCTCAGCGAGTAAAACACGATACGTTAAGCGAACTTTTACTGCACCGTGCAGAAGACATGCTGCGCAATGCTCACGCAGTAACACGGATTTTGTGGTGCTGGTGCTGGCTGATCTTTTTATAATGGTAGACTTCAGGTTCTCCAATTGCCACGGCGTGAACCGAAGGAGATCGTTAGAATTCCCGGAATCAGCCTGAAATGTTCAGAATCTTGTGGAGGCAATCTTTGCTCGTTCGACGAGAGCTTTCAAACGTTTCGCAATAATTAAAATCACGTGGCGACATTCGCACACATTCAGCAACGATTCAGACCCTATCCTTATTGCATGAGGATAAGGAAACCTTCCTAAGGGCCGGACCTGTTGTGAAGTTCGCTGGTTGTTTGGGTTACCTGAGGCACTGGATTCTTTCTCAGTCATTGCGCAGTACTCAAATCAGAATGCACATAGCCCTTGGATATACGTAGAAGTTAAAGTACATTAAACCTAACCGTAGGTTTTATTCAGCACCTAATTTCATTACCTGAAAAATATTATCCAGTTCTTACTCAAGATATAATTATTAATATTGTCCTGCTATGCCACAACGTAGACTAAATCGCTGCTTCATTAAGCCCTGAGGATGATATCAGATACGAAACGCATCGTGGATTATAACTAAAACATTACCACGGTTGTTCGATTAACAGATACTTAACTATGTATCAAAAAATGTTCATGCTGCCGTTATTGATAGCTGACTTAAGCCAATGGGGTTATATGTTATTTTCTATGCACTTTCTAACGAATTGTTTCGAGTTGCATCAATCAAGTACGCATCCTTTGCACTGCAACCATTCAGACACTATGGAGCAGTTACCTGCCTAAATGGCCCCCTAATGGTCTAGACAAATATATATGCAAAGAGCTGGTACAATGACTCAATACCACCCAATGTAATAATTGCCTCTCATGTTACACTACCGCAGCATTGCTGTAAAGTAAGTGACCTTATTGTCGGTTATAATGACTGCAGTTTTTGCCATATAAATCGTGTCAGTGGTTGAAGGATCAAAGGCTGTTAAAATGATCAGCCATGAAATATCTTTTAAGAAATGTCCAATCTAGACTATAGATGATCGCTATTTCCGTTTGCAACTTTCTCGTTTTAAACTTTGAAGTCAATGTACAGGACTAAAAAACAGCAGAACAACCTCCTCATTTGCTCAAGTGATAACCGTTTTAGATTTGGAGGATTTTCAGCCGGTGTTCCAGAGAGCAGTTCGATTTGTGGGAACTTCGATCCAGTGAAGAGAAACGCTACGCGGCTCATTGATCTTCTGAAAGCCCTGTGTGAGACCAGTGTGATCAGCAACTGTACCGTGATTCTAGAACACCTGCCGCTCTTCAGCGACTTCATCGAGTCAGTTTTGTGCAAGTTTCCAGCAAAAACGTTCGTCAAGGTTACCATGCTGAAATTTTCGTAATTTACAGCTGTTAAACACGCGGGCTTGTTTCAGGTTTGGTTTAACAATCGAGGATGGATTTCTTTACCGGCTTACATGAACGCCCTGTACAACGCGATGCTCCGACATCATTTACCTTCAAACGCGAATCCTCTCGATTACGGCATAACGCTCATTAATCATCCTTTGAATTTAACGGCTGCTCAGAAGCTACAGTCATCATCGAGGTATTATATATGTTCTAGTTAAAATTCTGTTTTCCTTTCAATCTGGCCAGCGTGGGCTTACTGGGCTTACATACTTTACTGCAAGATGCTCTGAAGGGTGAAAGATTTTCGTTTAGTCTAAAATTCTGGCCAGATATCTTGCTAACTTCGCGGACGTAGACAATATTTTCGTGACAATTATTGATGATACTTCGTACTGGACGTGGGCTTTCTTTAGCACGGAGGCACAGCTGCGGAATGTGGCCTCTTTTTAAATATCCAAAGGGAAAAAGATCGTGAAAAAGATCTCCGGCACAACAGATTTGCAAGTGCAACATGAA